AAAAATAATTAGGAAATTATTTTAGACATCTAATTCTTAATTTTTGTCGCTGATAAATATGTAGATACATCACTTTTAACGACAAACCTACTAATAAAAATTGCGAAAAACAAATCATGTTTATTCTCAAAGAGACAATTATTGAGAACAATCCAATAACTATTAATCTGGGATATAGATCTTAACAAAACAAAAGTTGGATAAAAGATTTGTTGATTTATGATATAAAATACAGTGTTCCATTTGAAATAGCAAAGAAAAATATAATATATAGTTTTGACTCATCCTGTATATAATACAAAAAAAATAATATAAAGAAAATTTAATCATATAAATAATTTAGGAATTTAGCATATTTTTATATAATTATATGAAGAGAACATTACCTTAAATTAGTTCCAGTAAAAAACTTCCATATTACTTATTTTTAACTTAGAAAGGGCTTTAAATATATATTTTATTATATAAACAAAAAAATTTAATCCAAAAATGGTCAAAATGAACTCTATACGATTACGACATTATAGTATTTTCTGGAATGACAATTTTTTGACAAATTCACCAAGAAAAAATAAAAAATATAGCTTTTCTTTTGACAAACTATACAACTCTAAAGTAAATATGTATTTAAATCTACGAATCATCCTGTATATCTATAAAAATACCTCCCTGTCAAATTTACGCTACTTTTGCATGCAAGCATACCTATTTTACAAAAATATGATTTGAGTGAAAATATAAAATAGGAAATCTGATATGAAGCTTTATCTAAACACAGGGTTGAGTGTAGATAAACAATATTTTACGTTATTAATTAAGAAAAATTATAAAATACACAATATATCTGACAGTTCCAAAAAAGCAAAGTAAGAAATGAAACATAATTTATAGCATAAAATCAGTATTTTTTAAATTTTTAAGTCAACTGGCCATTATCGTTTAATCTATCTATCAATCTATCAAATTTAATGTTTATTATTAAACTTATCTCAGACTCTCTATGAGGTAAAACTCTAAGATAAAAATTCTAAAAACCAAGAGTGATTTAAAACAAATTTATATGAATTTAGAAATAAATATGAACAGTATTTACTCACCTGTAATACAGATGCTTTTTGTTTAATTAAATATGTTTCAAAATATTATCCAGCAGGTACAAAATACACATTACACATCACGTAAACACAACACATAAAACTCACAAAATAATAGTTTGTAATCCAAATATTCAAAAATACTGTTTCGTTTCTTCGCGAGGACGAAAAAATTTATTTTTTTAATTATTTAGATATGCATTAAGATATATTTCAACTCAAAAGCTTATAAATAATTATTTTTTAAGACATAACCTAAACGAAACGAAATCAGAAGTCGAGAAAGATAAACAAAACTGCCGAATTTAGAAACGAATATGACTTTTTTTCCTTTTTTCTTGTCACAGTTGAAACAAACAAGGATAAAGCTATTTTCGTAAAACATGCGTGAAACGTGCTAATAAGTAGCCCAAGCGCCCTTCCATTTTTGAACGATGGGCGGGTTTAACGGATTCCCCTCAAAGAAAATCGTAGGGGAATACAAAAATGCAGAGCGGGCAAGGCGCCATCTACAAGACAGGATTTTACTAAGCCCTCATTGTATATCTATTTATACATAATCAAGGATTATAGGTACTAAGGCTTTTAACAAAATTAACCATGAAATTTTAGGCAGATATTGCCAACTACATCCAATTACCCGGATCAAGCCCGGATTTCAGTTAATTCGACGCACTGTGTTGCCATATGGATTACAAGTAAGTCATAAAATCACAACACCTGAGGAGTTTGCAGAAATGCATTACATTTTTAAGATTGTGATATTATTACATAAAATAAATTAAAAGTTAAATGTTTAAAAGTTAAATTAAAAAAACTTACCCAACATTAAAAAAGATACCTACTTATGACAGATCGATGTAACTGCGACAGTTCTCTTTTTCGATAGACACTTAACTAAATACACTTCATTGTGCTGCTTTACTTGTACGTGCTATTATAAAAACTGCTAAAATAACAGTCCCCATTTTTAACTTAACACATTATTTTCGTATAGGCTTCATCACAATTTGAACCACTGGTTTACAAAACACCTTGAAAAGCACACATTACTCATTACTTTGAATATCTTTCTGAATGAATAAATGTTGAGAATTATTGTCTCTTACCGCCACTTTACGAACTACTTTCAATCTAAGAAAATACATGTTTCACTCAACAATTTTAAATACGTATTTTGCTTTTTCGCTATTTTTTCGATGTATTTCGACAATTCCGTCAACAGCCCAACCACCCGTCGGCCAAGACAGCCACGCATTACTGGTTGGTAACTGCTCACTGCTTCTTTGTCGCGCCGGCGTGTCGAGCTTGCGTCATGCGAGGTTGCCGTAGTTTCAACAATTTCAAATTCAAGACACTCGAAGCAATCAAATTCTTATTAAATTTTAAAAATAAAACAGAAAAACATGAAAGGAAACAAACAAAACACAAATGAATTGATAATTGATAAGGTCACAAAAAAGAAATTTCTAAATTGTTTATCGTAATTCAGAATTCAATATATCGAAAACAGCCCGACGAATAATCAATTCATTTTCGTTTTGTTTGTTTCCTTTCATGTTTCTCTGTTTTATTTTTAAAATTTAATACAAATTTGATTGCTTCGAATCTCTTGAATTTGAAATTGTTGTAACTACGGCAACGTTGCTTAACATCGTCGTCTGACGCAAGCCTGCCACGACGGCGCGGCTCAAAGGACCAGTTCACACGTGGCACTCTTTGCCGACGCGCGACGGTCGGGCTGTCAAAATACATCGAAAAATAGCGAAAAACAAAATACGTATTTAAAATTGTTGAGTGAAACATGTCTTAAATTGAAAGTAGTTCGTAAAGTGGCGATAAGAGACATTATTCAAAGTAATGTGCGCTTTTCAAGGTGTTTTGTAAATCAGTGGTTCAAATAAAACAGAGAAACATGAAAGAAAACAAATATTGAATTCTAAATTACGATAAACATTTTAGGAATTTCTTTTTTGTGACCTGGTTGTGAATAATATGATGAATCATTTTCGTAAACGTCATAAACGTAATGTTTTAGTTAATTTTCGGTGGTTTTTGTTAAGTTTTCATTGAAAGGGTAAGTACTAAAAATAATTAATGTGTTTTTTTTCTATAATAATTATTAATAATGAGCACTGATGAAAATTTAACATTCTTAATTTTTGAGTAGAAATTTTTCTATGAATTTATAAATGTAGAACTATGTAGAATGTGGATAACATAGGAGGTTACAACACTGCATGGTTTAGATACACCGTAGAGAAATCTCAGGTGAATAAACAAGTGGCACTAAAAAGTTTTTTCAAATTTCCCGGAAAATGTCAAGAAAAATTTTAAATTTTCAACATTTTTTTTTCGCAAAAAAAACCTCATAGGCGTATTTCTGGGGTTGAACTATACTACCAGTTAAAATATCTGCACTTATTTCTGGGACACCCTGTATATTGATAGTGGCGTACCGCAAGGTTCTATATTGGGGCCTCTTCTATATAGCATGTATACTTGCAACATATCTCAGTATATTGAATATAGCATGAGCCAATTATATGCCGATGACACGCAATTAGTAATGTCATTTAATCTTGATAAAAAATAAATAAAATAAATACTGATTTGGAAAGTCTAAGTAAGTTTTCGGAAGCGCATCTTTTAAATATCAATCCAAGTAAATCGTGTTTTATGGTATTTGGAAAACATAATAAAACAATTTCTGTTGATTTTGAATTAAAAATAAAAGATAGTACTCTTCAATGTATTGATGTAGCTCGAAATTTGGGTCTTACTTTTGATAGCAATTTACGCTTTAAACCTCACGTTACTAAATGCCTCAAAAGAGCGTACTAACTTAAAATTATTGTTTCCTCATCGTCATATTCTGTCAGAGAAACTCAAGATTGCACTCTCCGATTCACTTGTTCTTTCACATTTTAATTTTGCTGATGCGGTTTATGGGCCATGTTTAGACCAGTTTGATATAAGACGTATACAAAAAACACAAAAGTCGTGTCTCCGTTTCATATACGGAATTAGAAAATACTCGCGAATATCTCATAAACTGCAAAGTGCATCATGGATGGCAATGTTAGAGAGACGCAAGCTTCACTCAGTTATATTGTTTCACAAAATTATATTTAATACCTGCCCTCTCCCTATTTAGTGCAGAAAATATCATATAGGACCGACATTCATAATCTCAACCTTCGATTTGGAGATCGCATCTCGCCTCCTGCTCATAGAACACAAATATTTCAGAGGTCGTTTACTTATAACATATACAAACTCTATAATTTGGTACCTGACTATTTAAGAAATCTTTCACCTGAATCGTTCAAATTTTCCTACAAGTCATTATTAAGTAAGGCTTTATAGTTTGTTCCGGCTGGAGTGCCTGCCCAAACCTTATTTCATTGATACCTTTTGTTTCTTTGCTGTTCCGCTTCTCCCGTCTTTGATCATATATATATATGCTTATGTTTTTTTTTTTATAGTTTATATTAGGGTAAACGAAGTTTAGAATTGTAATTATGAATTTAGGAACACAGTACAATAAGTGAATGGATATAATATATTTTTTATGGATCTGGACTAGAACATTTTTGAAATGATTCCAGTATCCATTTGGGTACTAAAAACTATGATTTTGTATTGTATGAATTGTAGACGTGTGTTGTTAGTATTCAATAAACTATATATTATTATTATTATTATTATTATTATATATTGTTTGTAAATTTTAAATTAAGGTTCATCTCATAAATCCATCACAGTCTGGCAGCGCTGTCGCCAACGCTTGCCACTCAAAGTTGATCACCTGCATCGGAAATTGTTATGCGATTACCATATACTTTAGCAACTGATATTTTCATCAAATATTTACTTATTTTTCCATAATAATTCTATTTTTAGATGGAAACTTTACAATCACATACCCAGTCTTCAAGCCATCTCACAAAGAAGGCCTCGGAAACAACGTGACCCATCAACTCCACATCGCCGCTCCAAAATTTGGACAGATCTTCCTATTGAAACTGTCACCTTCGAAAAAATTGACGTCCAGAGATTTTGTTGTCCTGGAAACTTACTCCAACGGATCAGTTCCTTTTAATTATAAGAACGACGACCTTGACTGCTACTTTAGGGGACCTAGGACTGCCATTAGTTCATGCCAAGGAGTGGTAAGTAAAAATAACAGCTATACCTAATGGGGTGTATACCCTACATTCTAAATATAAGGGTAAAATTAAAACACTTGACTGAAATATCTTTATGTGATCTGATCTATCTATAGTTCATATCAAATAAACGTTTAGTCACGTGATTGAGCTTGAAAGGTACAGCGTTGCCCACTTTTACATATTTTCTTTTGATCAAAATATTTTAGGAAACAAAAATAAATTAATTATAAATATATAAACAGTTATTATTTACATCAACAAAACTCACCTCCTTAACAGCACTTAACGGACGTACAGGGTCATTACTGCCGCTTTCCCGCTCAAAATATTCTAATAAAGTTGCGATAACTTTTACGGCTATTAAGCTATCTTGCACTCTTCGCACTAAAGGAGGTTCGACAATCAATTTTTGACTGCAAGGTCTGCTAGTAAAAAAATTTAAGCTTAAAATATCACCACAATTAATTTAAACCAAAAACTCGTAGTACAAAATTAAAGTGTCAAAACGAATGACAATATCAGAAAAATAAATAAATAAATGTGACAACTTGATATTTTTTACAGCAGAGCTACCACCTGAATCCCCAGCGGGGAATTTAAATTCCAGTTAGTCAGCCTGGCGACAAATATGTTGCCATGGTTGGCAACAATGAATTTAATAATCGCGTCCTCGATTACGTAACTAATAGTTTAATTGGAATCAAATATATATGTGTGTATACAAATAAACAACTATACCAATTTGCTTAAATTGAAGTGATAAAAAATGAAAATACAAGAGTAAAATTTTAGATTTTGTAGTATACTATATTTTAAAAAATCAAAGAAAGGAAAAGGAAAATCATTACTAACATATATGTTACTAGCGTGTACCCCCGCGACTTCGTTCGCGTAGAATTAATAATTTGTAATGGGGATGATAAAGCAAAGCAAGAATTTCCATTAACATACAAACTGGATAAAATTTTCTCACATTTATGTCAGCATGAGAAAAAACCGTTTCAATCCGTTTGCCAAAAATCAGCTTTAAACGTCAAGCAGTTTAAGCAGAATCGTGATTACTCAATGGTCATATTTTATGACACACCCTGTATAAATTTTTAAAAAATCTTAAAATATGTAAAACAACAAAATAAAATATACGTGTTTAAGTTTTTTTTTTCCGAAAAACTGACCGGTTTTCAAATAAAAATATTCTATTTGAGGGGTGGTTTCACCCCCTTAGAATTCGAGTTTCGAAAAATCCCTTCTTATCGAACCTCGACACCCTAAAGTCAATCCGTTTTTCAAAAATCAGCTTTTTACGTCAATCGCTTTAAGCAGGATCGTAATTAATCAAAGACCAGATTTTTCGCAACACCCTGTATACATTTTTAAAAAATCTTAAAATATGTAAAAAACAAAATAAAATATACGTGTTTAAGCGTTTTTTCGGAAACTTGACCGTTTTTTAAATAAAAAACATTGTAATATTTGAGGGGTGGTTTCACCCCCTTGGAACTGGAATTTCGAAAAATCCTTTCTTATCGAACCTCTACACCCTAGAATCAACCTGTATGCCAAAATTGAGCTTTTTACATTGAGTGGTTTGAGCAGTATCGTGATTAATCAGTTAGTCAGTCACTTAAGGATTTTATATTAAGGGCTGGCAAAGGTTAGTCTTGGGTCGATATTTCCGTATGTAAGAAGAGTACAATGCGTTTATAATGTACTGAACAAAGAGAGGACAGTAAACACGTTGCCAAACGTATGAAATAAACCGAGAAACTGTGCACATCGCTAAGAGACGTGAAAAGGGATATAGCAGATTTGTCGCAGTTGACCGGTCGACCCCAATCAATACCTCTGTCAGTACTTAAAGTTCTAGGGAAAGGTGTACGTCATGCGTTCAGCTTCACGATTTAATTACGTCTCGTGATACTTAATTTCTTTATTTATTAACGAGTCGTTATAATTTTCCCTATAGCTTTGAATTTTTTTAAGTGCAAGCTAGAAGCACTTGCATTTTTGGTAAAAATAAGTGGAATTGAGTGGGCGTTTGATAGTAGTCGCGCTATTAGAACTCTATTGTCGAAATCTATTAGAAATAATAGATTGTAGTTTTTTCAAGAACTTTGTTAATATTTCTGCTGTATTTTCTTTGTAGACAGTATGTGAAAATCTTTATCAATGAAAAAATTACACGATTGCTGAAAATTGCTATGCTCTAAAAGTAAATGGATGGATTGTTTACAATTTTTGAATGGAAAAAACAACCTAATCGAATTTTTCTTATGTAAACATATTGTAAAATATCCGATCTTGAAAATAAAAAAAAGTTAAAATATCTAAAGTGGTTCTTCAGTTATGGCCTGTTATGTGTTAAAAAGTAGAGTTTTTAAATTATCGCGATTACTGAGGTTTTCTCGTTATAAAAAAAATGACACCTTAACGATATCCTTATAATTCCATTTCAGATGCTCAGAAACATTACAAACCTAATGATTTTATCTAGTTATCTCTTAAAAAAAAGTCTTTTAAAAATAAGCGGTTTGCGATCGTGATTTTACTTTACTTGATAGGGAAAGGCGTATCGGCAACGCCGCAACAGCACACCGTCGCGCGTCGCGTCGGTCGGTGGCATTTCTCTCACTCCGACTTAATAAGATCCCTATGCGATTTACTTCCACACATGTAAATGCCGACCCAAAAGTAACAGTTGCCAGCACAGTATATTAGTATAAATAAAGATGCATTAGCGATGCACTTATGTTAAAATTCATACACCAAATGCTGAGTAAAATTCTATATGGTATATAAAAGCTTTTTTTATAAATCCAATAAAACCAAAAAGATTCTAGAAGTCGACGTTATAATTTAATTAGGAAAATGCCCTTTTAAGATCTTAATATAAAGTATATCCGGCAAGACAAGTTTAATTTATACTTGCCTCGAGACATTTTGAAAGTTGAACAGTTTTTATTTTAGTGCTTTAGAATGTCATTTTGAAATTAAAATTACTTTCTGACCTTTTTATAATTCTGATGCTTAAGAAAGGGAACTAATTTTAATCCTCAATTTTAATATGTAGCAAGGAAACATTATACTCATATTTCTTGAAGGAATTGTTCACGCTCAATTTTTTAAAATTATTATTGCCTATACCGGGTGCGTCTCAAAAGTGGAGAGATTTGGTATGTTAGTATATGACATAAATTAGGATTGATTGACGTATATTCAGTTGTTATCGGTCACTTCGTTTTTCACCGGAAATGACGACATTTTTTTAAATTTTTAAATGGCACCCTTGGTAGTTTTTTACTTTATGCGATAGAAAATGACACTCTAAATAGAATGACATATCATATGTCAACTTTTGACATTTTTGCATATGGTTTATTTCAAATTGTAACATGCGGTTCATAACGACAATCATGGCTGGGAAACTTAAATGGAAATGACGGTTCATTAAAAATAGTTTTTCCTCCAAGATGCAGAGGCGCAAAATATTAAAACTGTCAATATTAACAACGCAAATGTCAATATCTGACAATAATAAAATTTGATTTTTAACTGTCACTCAGAGACGCTTTTGTTGTGATTTTACGGTTTGATTTCGTTTTGATTTGTCGAATTATTGTAAAATTAAATTCCTTCAGAGTTTTTGCCAGTATTCTGTTTTAGATGTTTTTAAAAATAGTGGGACAATTTGTGTTTTGTATAGACTCTTAATTATTTTTTATCATGGAGTTTAATTGTTGTACACCTGGTTTCCGAAGGATACAATGGTAAGTAAATTAAACATATCTACTTACAGTTATAGATTTTTTAAATTAGTACTGCTAATAAATGCTACTTGCTGAGCAGTTATTTAATTTTTTTTACGGGGCATGTAAGGAATTAAGGACGCGCGTTGTGTTATATTAGCATGATCAGCAGATGATTACATCTAATTTAATTTGCTTTTATTATTTCAGGTCTCTAACGGAAACAAAATGGGAATCTTGCCTACACCAAAATTATATAGCCGTTTCCAATTCACTTCAAAGGGAGGAAAATTATGTAAAACTGCCTACTATTTGCAGAAAACCGCCAAAGATTAAATTATAACTGTAACAACTTAATATATACTATTTCTAGTCTTTTTAATATATTTTTTAATGAATATCCGACATATAAGAACACTTTGTATGCTTTTAATTAAGTTGATTTATCGTTTATAATATGTTCGACCTAATTAAAAGCACACAAAGTGTTCTTACATGTATGTCTAAATTTATTTTAAATTAACTAAAACAACCCCCCTTCCCCGCACCCCTCTCTTCCATTAGTATTTCTTCCTCCGACTACCAGAGGCGCCCTTGTATAATAAAATTGAAATGTATTATAAGTTGCCTATCTATTTAATAGTATAAGTCTTTTATCTATGACGACAATTATGTGTGTGGTACCAACTTATTCGTAAAAAAATGCCTTTCTAAATATGCATGCAAAAAAAATTTTTTTTTGCTTTCATATCAGAGATAAATAATCGAAATACCACAAACAGGATTACTTTTATTGTTAGGATACTCGATATCGTTATAAAACATTGTGAAAAATGATAAAAATGTAGAAGAAATAAAATTGTCTTATCAATCGTTTACTGTGATTAAAACGAATCGTACCAACAAGTGCATTTTCATTATAAAGAAAAACTAAACCTGCCATGGAAGCTAACCAAGGTATCTATTATTTTTGTACATTATGAAATATACAATTTTATTTTTGGGTACGAAGTTATACGGCAGCAAAAAATGACTGAAAATAATCTAGTCTTTTGTTTTAATTAACTTTGATTAAACTTTTATTGAGTTCTATGCCAAACATCTTGTACTTTCAGTTTTATTAAATAATGTGGACCTTGGGCTATTGAAATTGTAAAGGTTTTTTGCAACTACTGGCAACTTATGCTAGTATGATTTTTTTTCTGTCTGTATGTCTGTGTCACGAGAGCTCCGAAACCGCTGGAGGTATTTTGATGAAATTTTCAGGGAGAATACTGTTGGGGCTTCTAAGAAGCACGAAACAAAGTTTAGTTAAAATTCATCAACTTTAAGAATTTTTTTACAGTTAAAATTTCCTTTTTTTTGGTTTCTGAGACAGAAGATAATTTTTCTTAAAGCTTATTTAGTTTACGTTCACGATTGAATTCATTTGATTTATTATTTACAATCAAGATTTTTTCTTAATTAAACATGTTTTTAAAAACCCGTTTTTATGCTTTATTTCATTTTTGTCCGCAAACCCTATCCTTCAAAGCACTGTGCGTCGTTCCATTTGAAAAAGCTGAGATATGATTAAAAATACGATTTGGGGATCTTTTAACCTGGCAGGACAAGACACTAAAGACATTGGACGATCAAATATATTTTTCCAAGGCTCCTTGAATAAAAATTAGTGTTTTTAACACATGGCACTTTAGATCGAAATTTAAAATACAATTTCTTAAGCAAAAATATCAAAAGCTGACATATGATATGTCATTCTATTTAGAACGTAATTTTCTATCGAATAAAGTAAAATAATATCGAGGGTGTGTATTTCCGGTTAGTGAAGTGGTCGAAAACAACCCAAGTAGCATTTTCACGACTTGCGACCACATGTTTACTAAACACAACGTTGGATTAGTTACAAAAAATAGTTAGCTCCCTACCTTGGGTATTAAAATAAATTTAAACGTTTTTATAACGTCGTGCCGACGTTGGACTAGTACTACAGCAAAGTAGGAAGCTTCTGCGACGTCGAATAAACGTTGTCTTCTAACCTTTTTTGCTTAAGTGATCTTTAGATGATTCGGACAACGTAGTTACAACGTTGGACAATATATAGTTTTCCGACGTCAGTTTCAGGACCTATTCCAACGTTATGCAAACGTCGTCTGTTTTACTAATTCCAACGTTGTTTAGATTTCCTTATTCTTACGTTGGTAGGACGTCGAGTCACTACCTTTTTGCAACTGTATTGAACCATAACCTTAAATCTTAAATTTTCACTTCATTGTTCTGTTCAGTCAGATAGTTCAGTGCTATTTTTGTTTTTATAAAAAAAAACTTAATTAAAATGGGACATAAGAAATGTACATATAAAACTAAATTTAAATATACATCGACATATATTACCGATAGTTTATCCACTCCCTCGTTTATTTAGATTATAGAGTGCGGCACAAGCTAGACTCTAGGATGACTAAATTAGGCAATCTTGCGACGAGTATTCTACCTGTTAAGGCCGAACTGCGACTTTATTAGTCCAGTATGCGATTACTTGAACTACTCCATCTTAACCTCCAAAACAACAAAGTGAAAGCCGCCATGTTGTTAAATAAGAAAATGTGTCGTTCCTAAAATAGCAATTCCTGCTTTTTGAATACATTAACTTGAAATATTTGATCCTAAAAAACACGCGGAAACAATTTTTTCGACTGCGAATAAATTATTCTCATTTTACTAAAGAAAAAAAATTCAAGATAATTTTTAAAACTTCTTTAATTTTAAGGCCCATTAGTATTTTTCAAAGTAGAAACAATACATTTATCAATAAAGTTGTTTGCGTTTAACTTTTTTGTCTTGGGTAACGAGTTACAGAGTCGGTTAAAGTGTTTCAATAATTATGATCTTCAAACATCCTCCACACTTAAATATTTTTGTTTTGTTTTCCTTCACTGCCATCTGACATATGTCTCTAACTAAATCATAAAAAGAATATTTTTACAATAATTATCCCAATTTAGGATAAAACGCGACTTAGACGCCATATTAGTTTTGTATTTCTGTGAATTAGGATTTTAAACAACGTTGCAGTTTGTACTAAATTAGGCTTCTAGCCAACGTCGGTATCCAACGTCGTTTCGACCCAAAAATTATTCTCCAAACTAGTGCAGACTAGGGTTGGCACGAGGTTGTGCCGACGTTGCGCCCCGACGTTTGGTCGCGTGACACAACGTTGTCCCGACGACCAAATGCTGCTTGGGAATTGAATACATCAATCAATCCTAATTTATGTCAAATGCTTATATACCAAATCTCGTTTTTTTATCTGAAAAAATAAAAAAGTTATAAGAGTGAGCCACTTTTGAGACGCATTCGGTATACAGGGTGGCCCATTATATTCATGAAGACCAATATCGTCGCATTTTTTCATAGCTTTGACAACAAAGATATGAAAAAAGTTTTATATAAATGTTCTATAGTACATATCCTAAAAATATTTTGTTGCATACAAGATGTCGCAATTTGCTGTAGAGGATTGGATTTAGCATAAAATTCTGCATATAGTATAATATTATTTTATTTTGAAGAAGGTATATGCGGTGTTTTGTTTTGATTTGGTTATTCTATTTCCTGTTTACATATGGCTCTTTTAATACTAAATTTTTATCAGTCACCTAATGATTTTTGTCTATTATTTTACCATTGAAAATGAGCCATGTGCAATATAATAGCTCAAATATCTGCAAAACCGTTAAAGAATTAGGAACACTTCAAATACAAAAAGTGTTCATTATTTAATTCTGCATATAAAAGAAATATATTATACAGGGTATTGCATTTGAAAGAAATGAGATATAGAATTTTAAAAACTGCGAAGTTTGGACGCTATAAAAAAATACATTGATAAAGTTAATGTAAATTTTCTTGTGCGGATTTATTCCTATATATCCTTGGTCTTTAGAAAAATATAGCTGTGTTCATAAAGTTTGACAAAGTTTCAATAAATATGAAATAAAATACAACACCGCATAGTTCTTCACATAAAAATAGTGTACTATATCCAGAATTTGGTACTGAATCCAATTATGTACAGAAAAATGGAGATTTTTGCAATTTAAAAAACTTAACACTTTATTGTGAAACCCTGTATACAACAAATTTTTTTTAGGATATGCACCTTTATAAACCATAAAACATTTAAATAAAACTGTTTTTTTTTCATATCATCAACAACAACGACGTTTTTGGACTTTCTCGCACTAATGCGCCACCCTGTTAAGTTTAAGTTAATTTTTTCACAGATATTTATTTTCTTTTTGCAGAGAGGTATAGTACACTCCACCGTTGATCACCTGTACATCATTCACCCACTGCCAAAAAGATTTCACAATTCCACATCAATTCCTCATATTCTACTGAAAAAGCCTCATCAAGAATTCAAAACTATAGAAGACAATCACGAAAAATACTTAAATAAAAAGAAAATTCGAAGACACGTAAATAGACAGAAAGAAGAGAATTTGAGACGGTCTAAAAGAGAAGCATTTCCAGCTGGTGCAACTGTATTCGTTGAAACAGCTGTCTTTGTCGATAGAGACTTGTTTGATCATATGAAAACAAACTTTCCGACAGACACTGAAAGGGAGATTATACGCTTTGTTCTCGCAATGATAAACGCCGTAAGTAACCCTTTATTTGGAACCTTATTATTAGTTTTTAATCTAATACTAGGTATACGATTGACAAATGGCGTCAAATTTGGTCTGGAAATGACGAATGATAACACTTTATATTTATATTACATGCTATACATTTTAAACATTAAATTGTTATTTATGAAAAATCGAAACCTTGTTCGAACATTCGTAGATCTTTTTTGACTGTGTATAGTTTGTCCAACGCAGAGAGAAACTAATAACTAAAGTGAGAGGGCTTGTGGAATAGGGCATTTCGTAGACAAGTTTATTTTGTCAATGCGCATCCCAAACGCGCATAGCGTTTAGGCGGTCAAAAAAGGAAGTTTTCAACTTTGCAAGTTAAACATTTGACAGGATTAATTAGATTGTCAGTAGCCTTTTCTATTTCTTAGCTCTAGAAGGAGATAACTAAAATCTGTTGATAATCGGAGTAGTAAATTGTTTTTAACTGAATGTGCCTGTTCTTTTAGCTTGTCAGAAGAGAAGATTATTGTTATTATTGATTATTTCAGGTTCCACGATTATTCGGCATTTTTGTAATTTTTGTTTTGTGGTTGAGATCCGGAAAAAAAGTTTCCTTTAAAGGTTTTTTAAGGTAATTATTTTAACATACCTAATAGTAATAGTGAGTGCACATAATAATCGTACATTGCTAATTTACATAAGCATAACCTATAGGATAAATCCGATTGTAAAAGTAAAACATCACATTCTTTTCTGATACCTATGGAACGACTAGGTATTATACCTGGTATTATTACCAGTAATACAAATTATTTTCTTCAACTGATAGGTTCTTGTTATAGAATAAAGATTATCAAAAACATTGAATAGCTGCGGGATACCTACTGATACTCTGTGCGAGCTCTCATCCGTGCTTCCCTGTTCACTCTCAACCGAGTTACATAAAAAAGATACTGAAGATTGCAGCCTTGAGTTGGAGTATGGCATGGAGTATGGAGTTAAATAAATTATTATGTTCCTACACAGTATTTTATTTATAGGTTTTAATGCTTTAAAGTCTAATGATAAATTTTCATTGTCAAAACAAAATAATCTCAAAAACTACGAAGATTTCTTATTATAAGCTTGAAAGATTAAGATTCGGTTCAAATATACAAATTTTAAATTTTTGGCGCCAGTATATAGGTATGAATGCAACCTTAGATGTAGTAACACAGTCCAAAATACAAAATGCAAAATGTTTATCCTTTCTATTTGACTTAATCTGACACAAAATTATAACCTATAGTGCCTACTTTTTGCTGATGACTTCAAGGTTTTTAAGGCCATTTCTAGTGAACAGGACTGTTTAGATTTTCAAATTGATTTAAATGCAGTATCAAAATGGTTTGTTGAAATCGAAATGTCAGTCAACGTTGAAAAGTGCTGTACTATGACCTATACTTGGAAGAACAAATTTCTTGAACATGAATATTTAATAGAGAATAGAGCGTTTCAAAGAAGAGATGGTATTAGAGACCTGGGAGTCAATATGCAATCTAATTTAATGACCACTACCGACATATTGTGAATAAAGCATTTAAGAAACTTGGTTTTGTGATCTAGAAATTCAAGGAACTTTGTAAACTGTGATACTTTGATCCTACTGTACAATGCCCTCCCTGGTGAGGTCCCAGTTGGAGTATGCCTCCATCATTTAGTCGCCCCGGACGCTGTCCAGCGGTGACCTCATCGTGCGTATTCAAAAAAGTTTTTAAGATATTCGTATCTGTGACGGAATAATGCTTATCCTTATATGATCTCGTATGCGTCTATGCTTAGAGATTTTAATTTCCAGAAGCTGGAAGAAATAAGGCAAATCCAATCTGTGATATTTGTATTTAATATAGTCAATAACCTAAGATATGGCGATTGTTCGTTGATCAATTTTAGGAAAGGAAAAACTATTTCAATGTGAAATAAAAGGTTGTTTACGCCTTAATTTTAGGCTCCTCCAGTGCAATGAATTGATCCTTAAGACTGATATTGATATGTTTAATACTAGTGCTAGGAATATTGTTGCAGCATTTAATGACATAGTCTAACATATAATATAGATAAGTTTATATTATTATTGTTGATTTTTGTTTGTGGACCCTCTCTTACATGTAATTACCATATATTGTGTGTCTGTAAGATTTTCTCTAATATATAAATATCAGTGGCCTTGTATATTTAACTCAATATAAACCCCTATTTTACAGGTGCAGCTCCTCTACCACGACCCCTCGCTCGGCAGACCGGTTAACTTTGTCCTGAAACGGTTGGAAATAATGAAGGACGAGGTCTCGGGTCTGGTCAGGCCACCTGACATCGACAGATTCCTCTCCAACTTTTGCAACTGGCAAAGGACAAAGAATCCCGCCGGTGACAGGGAACCGTTACACTGGGACCACGCGCTTATCCTCACGGGGCTCGATTTGTACGTGAGGGGGAAGCACGGAAAAATCTCGAATCAAGTTGTGGGTAAGCATTTTTTTTAAATTTTGAATGGTATTATGAACAGAAATATACAATAAATTAAAACTACACTCAGATGCAATAAAAACGCAACGGAAATTTTTTTCGTCAAATTTAAAGTGTTATATTTTTCTATTTTTGAGCCCTATTTTCATGATTTTTTTAGCAAACTGTATATAAATATATCAACTTAATTCGTAAACACAGTTTATTATAAACTTTAGTATTTGGCTTGTTATTTGTTATACAGTGATAATCGAAGGGTTGCTTTTTACCCTAACTTTTAAAAACCGTGTGCAATAATTTCGTAAGTAAATTTTCCTGAAACATTATTTTTCGGCCAGAATCATATGACTCCCTGAGCATTTTGATTTTTAATTCACACCGACACATGTCTGGTTAATTTTTAAGAGCGAATAAATGAGCTTGCCAATAACTATTGGAGGTGGCTTTGGTGACTGAGACGGCTTTGATGATGTAATGTCATATCGATAGTTACATCTGATGTATGGCAAATGTCCCAATTATCGTCACATTAAGGGAATATCTCAGTTCAGTTAGCTATAAATTCCGAATTATTAGTATTAGGCTTACAAGAAAATTAATATGACACAAGGGGACATTCTTATTTAAAATTTAAATTAAACTTCAATAACTTGACCGATATTTTCGATTATTTTCAAGAAGAACTAAAAAAACTACAATTGCTCTAAATGTCGTCACCTCTCTATCTATATATCGTCACCAACTTGTCCCAATTTTCGTCATATCTTTATATGTGATGATGTCATTTCATATAAAAACCATTGTAGGAATTGGGACACATTGCAAAAAATATAACATAAACAATTAAATAATTAAAAAATATGCATACAAAATAAAATCATATTTAAGAATATCTCCGATATCAGCTCAAATATAATGCAGATATAACCATTATTAGTGAATACAAAGTATTAAACATTTTTATGAAAAGAATAAACAGAAAAAAACAGTAACATCATATTAATAAATAAATATTTCTTCTAACTTTTAACTTGAAAAATTAGTTTTACTTTGGCATATCAGGTGTATCATATACACCTCATTTATTTGTTTTTAATTTTTGTAACAATATCACTTTTAATTCAGTCCATATAATAATATTAATATGGCTTACATGTCTAATGGTCTAAATTCCGTCACAGATTATCCAGTTCCCGTCCTCCATTTTTAGTTGATAATTTAAGGTACAATTAATGATAAAAGTGGGTGACGAAAATCATATATGGGCTATATGATTTTCGTCACCCGCTTTTATCACTTCATACTGCTATTTATGAAAAAAAAATTAAATCTACTATTAAAATAACTCTGCCTATATAATGACCCAATCTTCGTCAATGGTGACGATAATACGGCACGCTCCGTAGCGACATGTCCTAAAAACCGTCACGCATTTTATTTATATTAATATTATAGAAAAAAAAACATATTTTTTATATAAATACATATAATAGAAAACCTCTTACACTGGTAATTACCTAAATTACAATACTGTGAAAGCAAATCAAGAATGTTGCTCTGCTTAGCTTATAAGAAATGTGTGGTTTCTCGTCAATGTCTAACTTTAAAGTAAAATAGTCGTTATTCCACGCAAATAAAGTGCACCATTTAAAAAAAGATGTATTGCAGCATTTCCAGATATATAAAACAACTATTTAAAGTTATTTGTTATGGAATATTTTCCCTGAGTTTCTTAATTTTTCAAAAAATATCGAGATATGATGATAATTAGGACATAGGTTTAGCCATACAGGTTCCTACGATTCCTACGATTCGAAGGACTGTTAATACACTCACATTCTTGCCTCGAACCTCTTCATACCAAAGTCTTATTTGCGCCGTTGTTAAATGATGGTTCTGCAAAGCGTTGATTCTTATAATTTCTTTAAGTGTCTTAGACCGTTGGAAAATTCCCATTCCAGGTTACGAATGGAGTCTTCCATGTTTTTGGGGTCTGCTTTAAGGTGGTTTCTACTTGAAAAACAAGACCGAAAGTATTGAAAAAGAGTTATACACCGGGTACTGTGTGTATATTGAAGAGGGAAAATGTCTTTCAAATATTCATAAGGCTGTAGAGATGGATTAGAAATGAAGATTATTTCAGCAAACTGAACACCGTATTTTTTTATCATTCGGTATGTTACGCGTGACAAAATGACTTAAGTAGTGTGTTTTTGAAAAGCTGCAGCCTTTCCACCAATTTTCTGCCACGTGGATTGAAAATTTCCTTCCAGCCATTTGTGCTTATTAGACTCTCTGTCGTCGTCGTTACAGCGTCATTATCCGGCAGCATTTACCCCAATGGCCGTATTTTCCCCTGAACTTACCCCGACTAATCGATAATGATGGGGAACTTAATGGGCCGAAACGTTTTCATTTTTCGACTTATTAAATTTAAATAACGAGATACATTTTAAAATTTCCGATGGCTTGAAAGAACACAGAGAAAATGAGTTTCTTAGCAAGATAAGCAAACTGACGTAAAGACGATGAACAATAATACAGTTATATTTTCAAATATCACACAACTGTTAAGACGGTCCTACACGATGCGTCCAATGTTCGAACGAACGTTCGAAACAACATTTGACACAGTTTTCGACAATATTACAATTGGCGAATGTGTCTCCTACACGATGCTTCGAACCACAAACCTGGCGCTACATTATTTGTGAAATTAACTCAGTGTCGTACGTACTCTTGGCTTGAGCAGATATGGATAATATATTAAGTGCTGGGATTGCCGCTGGTATGATAGTTTTAAGATGCGCTAAACTGTTGCAACAGAAGCAAAAGAAAAAGAAGACTTAACAGGGTTTTATTTCTTGTATTACTCTTATGAATCTGTCTATAGCATCATAAGCAAACCAAGATGGTTTGTATATATCTGCCCTCCCATGTCCGGTTGTATAAGAATCTATAACTTTCCTCCTCAACGTTCTATACGTTGCCATTACAGATTCTTTTTGTTTTCTTCAATTCTGCTACTGACAAGTCTATACTCATTTCCTGAGAAATTTCACGCCAAGCATCATGTAAGGCATTCCGGTTCGTATGGTCGGAATGCCTGGCATTTCATATTGGATATTTCTCGTAAATCGAAACAAATTCCATTATCATTTGATTATTTCAGTCAACGTCTCCTTTTTGCTGCCAGTGCTAATCTGGATATTTTTGATTATTCCACTCCATTTTAACTAAAAACGGAAAATTTTAATTTTAGTAAAAAGTAAAAACTTATTCACATATCTAATATAAGAAGAAAATTTTGATGAATAGAAAAAGTGAATGAATAAAAGAAAATTTAAGTGTTTTCACTAAAGTAATGTAATAACCAAAAATTCTGTCAGATATTTATTAACACAAAGAAAACCAATAATAATTAATCTTTCTATATACCTATGTATGTACTTCCATATTTCTGGCAAAGAACAAATCACGAAAAATTTTCAACCTGAGGATACCACGTTTTGGCATTAAAAGCGAGGCCGCTAATGATGATCCCTAGTAAAATATCAGCCACGTGAAGACCCTCGTGTGGTAGCGCATCGAACATTACTTCGAACGTTGGAAGGTCATTTTACTCACTTAAAATTTACCGACAAGAGCCCGAACTTGCTTCGAACGTCCGACACATGGATTTCGGCGCTCCCACACGATGTGGCGAATGCGTTTCAACGAAAATCAACGTTTGAAGGTGTTCGCCACATCGTATAGGACCGTCTTTATCTGCAGTCAAGTCAAACAGAGCCATACCATCTTTTCTCTAAGCTACTCACGGCACTTTTAATCCTCCTGTAACTTAGTTGTGCATTAGGCAAGAATCCTAATTGTTAGACATCAAAATAACATACCGTATATAATATAATATATTGCCAATATATCTAATATAAAATAAATACAACACGCGTGAGTTTTTGAAGTTATAACAAACTAGTGTATTATAACTTCAAAGCCACACCATTTTATAGAAATTATTAAGCTTTCTTCATAAATTACTAATTCAGTTATTTATTTAAATTAACATTAACATTAAATGAAGATCATTTTTTTTGTACACTCAGAAATTGTAAAACCTTGTATGACTCCAGATGCTGTTCCTCCACTGCTTAAAATACGAGCCCTAACAACTATATGTTGGGACAAGGTCTTTTTTTGCAATAAAAATAGTAATTTGTTAAAACGACTCAATTGTATTTTGTTTATTCAAGACAATTTTACTATATTTTTATAACTTTGCAAACAAATCACTTTTGATAATAGCTTATTTTGCCAAATCAAGCCAAATTTGCTGACAACTATATATTGGGACAGCACAAGAAGAAATTGGTTTAATACGGAGTTACATCACCTTTCGCCTTAACAACTGCCTGAACTTTTAATGGCATTGTATTTGCCAAAGATTGGCACATTTGAGGAGAAAAATTATCCCAAATTTCCTGCAGTTTTGTCCGTAAATCAAAAATTGTTCGTTGAGGGTGGTTTCTTAAATATTGCTTCTTTTTATGCCACACAGTTTCTGTAACATCGAGGTCCCGACTACTTGCAGGATGGGAGAATTTTTATATTATTATTACCGAACCAATTTTTAGTTGATTTTGCTGAATGGCACAATACTCCATCTTGTTGGAAAATATAGTCTTCGTTTGGAAACAATTCTTGAGCACTAGGCAAAAGTGAGGTCTCAAGTATATGTTAATATTTTTGGGCGTTAACAGTGCCATCTATAAAAATTAATTTGCCCAAACCTCTTGCTGACATGCAACCCCAAACCATAATCCCATTAGGAAATTTAACAACACTCTTTAAGCAATCTTTATGAAAGGCTTCTGCTTTATTTGGTATTATTCGTTTTCGATGATCTCCAACGAAAATATCAAATTTAGACTCATCGCTGAATATGACCTTATTCTAATCATTTTGTGTCCACGATAATTTAGATTTTGTCCAATTGTAGCGAT